TCTTTTGTTTTCACCTTCTGGACAGGCGAGGGAACATTCCTTCCAGAGGAGATTTCCCAGCAGTGCATAAGGAATTTCCACGCATATTCCCCAGCCAAGTGCAGCTGGGAAGCCACCTGACCTCCTGCATTCCTCTGCTGACCCATGTCTTATAGGGCAAGTCCTCCTTCTTTTGGGCAAAAGAGGAATCTAACAGGGAGTTGCCCATTGCCCTCCACCTTCTGCTCCTCACTTCCATTCCCCTTCCCCTGTCCTCCAGCTCTCTTGGTGGGCTAACAGCTGTAGGCTTAGGCAGATCTCTGAAGAATGTTGGGAAGAGGACTAAGGTGGGGCCTGAATTTCCTTAGAAACTTAGGGACTGCTTTTGCAAGACTAGAATTTGAAGCTCATCTATTTAATAGATTGAAGTCCAGAGAGGTTAAGTTATTTAACAGAAATCACACAGCAAAAACTGAGTTTTAAGGCCAGATTTTTGGAACCCAATGTCAGCTTTCTTTTTGCGTTCTATTGTTTTTCTTTCTTTCTTTCTTTCTTTTTTTTTTTTAGAGACAGAGTCTCACTCTGTTGCCCTTGGTAGAGTGCTGTGGCATCACAGCTCACAGCAATCTTCAGCTCTTGGGCTTAGGCAATTCTCTTGTCTTAGCCTCCTGAGTAGCTGGGACTACAGGCACCTGCCATAATGCCTGGCTATTTTTTGTTGCAGTTTGGCTAGGGCCAGGTTTGAACTTGCCACCCTCAGTATATGGGGCTGGCACCCTACTCACTGAGCCACAGGTGCCATCCTGTTATTTTTCTTTGGTCCCCAAGAAAGGTGACCCTGATCTCTTGGTTATGACAGAGTTGGGCTAGAAAACAGCCTATGGAAGTAGGTGGGGCTTGGATGGGAGGACACTGGGGCGTCAGGACATTCTCATTGTCCTGCCAAGTTCTTGCTCTCCTCCCATCTGGAGTTCTAGTCTCAGTCCACCCTCTCCCCTTTATCTGGCCCTGCCCTTGAGCCACTGGCTGGGATCTGCTGCAAGTCCTACTCCACCCTCCATTGTCTGCAGGCTATTTTTAGGAGCTGGATGGTGCTCCCAGGAGCAGGGAGAGGAGTCCAAGCTACTCTTTCTTCCTCTGGGCCCCAGCACCAAGCCCTGTGGCTCTGAACTGGTGGGAGGGCAGGGCAGGATAGGAGAGAGAAAACTAGAAGTGACCGGCCCCAGGCTGGCCATACACAATTCTCCTGAGAAACTTCTCCATCTTTCCAGAGGTGACAGGCTCCTCCAGGGGCTCAGGTCACTAGTTCTGGCTGCTCCCCAGGGGTTTGGGCCAATGGTTGTCTGCTGCAAGGCTTTCCTCCCATTTGGGGTTAGAGAGGCTGTTCTCTGTGGCCACTCTCATCCTGAAACCCGTGTAGAAACCCTCTGGGTTTGAGTCTTTCTTCAGCAGAATAAGGCTTGATCCGCATTATTACACTGTACACGTTCAACATTTCTTTTTGTAGGAGCGGCTCAGAGCTGCTGTCCAGAGCTCCTGGTACACAGGGCTCCTCCCTCGCTGTCCCCCTCCTGTTCCAGCAGAGGGAGCAAGAGAGGCGCCCACTCTGGGGCAGCCATGCTTGCCCCACCCTAGCAGGGCCAGACAAATTCAGAGCAGGTTCAGAAAAGCAGCCAAGGCAAGGCTGCAGTGGGAGCCATGTCTGAGGAAGCTGGGGAGTGGCTGCTCCCTCAGAACCCCTCAGTCTCACAGGGACTGCCTTGCTGTGGACATCCCCCCTATCCTGCCCAGAGCACTGGCTCTCACTGGATGCCCATAGATGGCTGTCTGGGGTTGATCTTAGCTACTCCAGTGGGGAGCATAGGGGGAGATGAAGGAGAGTGAGCAGGACTGTGTATGTGCTGCTGCAGCTTGAGTCTGCAATTGGTGGCTACAGCTCTGGCGGGAGGCAGGGACACAGGAGAACATCAGAGGGCAGTCCCATCCATCCCTCTGATTCTACCCCTGTCTCATGTTGGCCTCACATCACCTTGTCTCTTCTCTCCCTAGCAAGCCAACATCAGGAAGGTGTGCAGGGCCATCCTCCTGCACAACAGCTGGGGGCGCTGTTCACATGTCAGCCCATGTGATGGTTCCCACAGTGCCACCTCTGGGTGGGCACTGCACCCCAGCTCTGCTCCACACATCTGCCCCAGAGGAGCAGCAATTTCACAGCATAGGAAACAGAGGTGTTGAGAAGTTAAGTGACCTTGCCACGACACACACACACACACGCGCGCGCACGCGCACACATGCACAGCGTTCAAACCATGTTAGTCTCACACTGGAGAGCTTGCCCCTTCCCCCTCTCTGCAGCCCTCCCTGCGGTTACATGCACACAGGGACACATGACAGTGCCTAATGCCGGCCACTTTCACTATGTCAGCTTGAGCCTCACAAAGACCCCTGAGCAGCCAGGGTGTGTACACTTGATCTCCCTAGGACAGAAAAAGATCTGAAATTCAGAAAGGCTAAAAAGACTTGCCCAGACACCCTTAGCAAGCTAATGGGAGAGGATTTAAATTCAGATTGTGTGTTCTTATCATGCTGAGGAGAACATCTCAGCATGAGTTCCCTGGGAAAACTTTATTTAACTGGAATTTTAACTGATATAGTCTAAGGTTAATATGGAGTTGTAAGAAATACTACTGAGCCCTTGTACACTTTGCTCAGTTCCCAGCGGTAGCATTTGCAAAGCTGTAGTACAACATCACGGCCAGCCTGTGATAGGGGCGTGGACATCCGCACAGTCAGTCCATGATCTCATTCAGGTTTCCCAGCTTCCCTCCCGGGTCCACGTGTCCAGCACCACAGTCACGACTCTGAACAGTCCCCACACCACAAGGCACACATGTGTATACTTTGGTCACTCACCCACCTCCCACCCAACCTCCACATAACCCCACCAATAGTTTTGTCATTTCTTTTTTTGTTGTTTTTTTGTTTTTTTT